TTGCAGGAGAACGGCTGATTCGCTTAGTGATCTTGAGCTCATCTCGGGCTATGGCTCTCAGTGCACTAATAGACCTTAACGGACCTGACCAGCTTCACCTGGGGCCTCCACCCACACCCTCCACCCATGGGCTCAGGCACTCCATTTAAGCTCTGCCTGGGGCCTTCAGTCTTAGTTTGAGCTGTGCTGTAGGAGCACAGGTCTCCAGCTCAGCTACAGCCATACCCAGCTATGGACCCTGGTGATCCCAACTTACAGACTGATTTTTCTAGCTTGGTGCTGGACCTGCCTTGTCACCATGGATCTGCCTGGCAACCTCTGGGCCTGACTCTGATACGTGGACCAACTTCCCAGCTTGGTCTCGGACCTGCCTCACCACCATGAACTTAGCTGACAATCTGGGCTCTTGGTTGAATCTGGCCACTGTCTCTGGACCTGCCCTGCTTCCTTGGTTTGGTGGGATGGAGCCTTGGCTGGTGAGGCCCCTGCCCTGCCAACTGCGTTATCCCCCCTTAGCTCCTGGTCCAATGGTCTCTGCTGCTCCTTGACAAATTCCCACCAGAAATGCCGTCGCCTACCTCTAATCTCTACTCAAGCACTATTCCCATGTGCAGCTGTGGTGTCCTGCTTCTGAACTTCATGCATGTAAGTGCCGAGAGAAGCAGTCCACAGCCAGGCAACCTCACTTCTTTTTAGCTTCTGCTTTGCTTTGGAGCCTGGTGGGATCGCCTCGCCTCTGGTAAGCTCTGCAGTGAGTCATGGGGGAGTGCTGTACCAGTGGCATCCCTTTGGATCTCTGACGTCCTGTATCTTGATTTTTAGGCTTGCGGTTCCAGGGATAACATCCTGCGCCACTGAACTTGCTTTCATTTCTTGGGGGGTGTGAAATTCTAGTCCCCTTTCAAACACAGGTTTGGATTTATCCCATTTCCTCAGAAGCCCATGCTGGGAAAGCGGAAGGTAGGATCTAGCCTTTTGCTGCTGTTGGGTGGGAGCTGTGTTAACTCCCTTCTTTCACGCTGACCTTCCTCAGGCACAGATGTGTGTGAGTCATAGGCTGGACCTCTCATGTCTTGGTGGAAGCTAAGAGAGAGGGTGGGGTGGTATTTGGTCTGGAAAATCTCAAAGCAAATTATTTGTTCCAAGTATGTCTGGGAAAGGAGAAAAAGCCAAGGGGTGATTTTATATTTGAAACTCTAGATCTTAAAACTCTATTTATTTTGCGTTGAAAATCAAATGGAGGACCCACTTGAAAATATTCCCCTGGTGATCTTGCCTGGCAAAATTAATGAGAAAGCAATAAAAGTAATGCTGGTATCATAGGATGCTTCTCAGCAGAGATGCTGCTGGCAGGAAAGGCATATTCATTACCTGGTATCCCCTCACAAACCACTTGGCAATCCCTGCCCCAGACTTGCACTGTGTGAATTGGTGCGGACTGGAAGGAAGGGCACTATCACAGTGGTGTGGGGCTCAGTGCATGGGTAATAGGAGCAGGGGAGAGGAGTACTGACAGAGCAGGAGATGGATATGTATGGCCTGTGTCCTTGTGTGTGCAGTTCTCCTGTTCTGATACAGATAAACTTAAATTAAAATTCCACACAGAAATGCCCTTGTACCACAGGCTTTGGAATACTGCTTATGTGATCACCACGAGTTCAGTTCCCTCTCTGTAAACAGCTTCAGTAAGGAGCAGTTTTATGAGCTCTGATTTTTAGACCTGGACTGAATCCTTAGTTAATTCTTCTTCTAGGCAGCCTGAGAACAAGCCCATGCTGTGGCAGGAGAAGAGCGTTGCACATAGGCCTGGAAGTGCCCTGCTGGGAGAGTGCCTCCCTCTTACAGGCAGAGACCTTCTTTAAATGCTTCACTTGTGCTGTTCAAAGTATCTGTCCTTTTTCCAGCCAGACACCAGTTGTGCAGAACCTTTCTGACTGCCACAGAAGGGCAAGGGCAGTATCCTACTTCCAGGGTGATCTGCCTGGTCTGGGACCTTGCTCGGTTTGTCCTGCGAACTGAGTGCTCAGCAGATATTTGCTTGCTTCTTTCAGTGCAGTACTCCAGGGCACCAGCTGGGAGCTGATTTTTCCAGGCAGGAATGGTAAGGTGGATGTAGGTGCTCCACACTAGCACTGCCTAGTGTGGTATCTGCTTGTCGTCACACAACAGGGAACAGCCTGCACTTCTGTGAAGCTGTTCGATCACATTGGTTCCTGTCCACATTGTAGCTTTGTGCAGCCCTGATTTGCTATTTATCAAGCTGAGGAAGCCCTGTTCCTTAGCTGTGTGGTTTGATTTTTATGTACCCTGGAATCCATTCTTCCCTGGAATGTCCCAGGGTACTTGTCTGCAGTCCTGAGTACGACATATAGTGTCCCTTCCTTTCCCTGGTCCTAAGTAAATGTGTCATCCTGGAGGAAACCAATGATGGAGACTTCACAGATGTAGGTGCAGGTGGGAACCAGATGGCGTTCTTGCTGCTTGCTTACCCCTGCATTGTATCATGAGTGGAGGGAAGCACTGTCAGTGCCCAAACATCACTTGAGGAAGCTGCTCCATGGAAAAAGTTGCAGGCCAATGCCTCTTGGAGTGCTGTTGGAGAGAGCAAATGGATGCCAAGAGCAGTAAATAATTTATATTGGTAAAAACACAAAACTGGGTGGTCTTGGGCTTTTCTTTCTTTCCCCCTTGCTTTGCATCTGTTCATATTTAGAGGCCGTTCACGGCTGTTTATACTCAGCTAGTCCTGGCATGTTTCTTGCTTTGTCCTTGGCTGCAGTGATACACATAATGAATGTGTTTGAGGCTCTGCAGCCAATGCTGCTGCTTCTACACAGTGCTTTGCATTCTGTTTGGGGTAGTACACCTGTGTAGCGTCAGAAGCATGACTTGCTTATCTCCTAGGGGGAGATGTTAGATAGAGAGGACGTCTGTGTCTGTATGAGTCTGTTGGCACTGGAAGGAAGGGTTAGGAGTGAACCAGAGTGGTTTTGCTAGTAGATTACTACGGGGCATGAGAAGGTTAAAGCTTGTGACCACCTCAGAGCGTGTCACATGTCAGGTCTCTGCAGTGCCTGCCAAGATCTTAGTGTCATGGAGAGAGTACTGCTTGGGCTGGGAATGTGGATCATGCTCTGGGGGGGGCAGGTGTTTTTAGTTTTGTTCTTGTATTTCACTATCCTCTAGTTCTAATTGGCCATTAAATAAATCAATCTTCCCCAAGTCAAGTCTGTTTTGCCTGTGAGGGTAACTGGTGAGTGATCTCCCTGTACTTATCTCAACCCATGAACTTTTTAATCTTATTTTCTCCCCTTGTCTTGCTGAGGAGGGGTGGTGAGAGAGTGGTTTGGTGGGCACCTGGCAGCCAGACATGGTTAACTCACCACCTCCTCACAAAAAGCTGCTGCTTTAGGCAATGCCAGCTCTTTTGCACTGTAAATGGTCTGATATAAGGTGACTGTTCCTGCCTCTTGGAAAAAGCCAGGAGACCCAGAGGTGCTCACTGCTTCTGGGTCTTACCTGAACTGTGTAGTGAAGCAGAGAAGGTGGCCGGAAAAGGAAAGGAGAGATGGTAGGTGGGGTGTCAAGGGAAGCTGCCCAAAAAACTCCCACTGCAATCCCAAGCTTGCCACAAAGAGGAGGGGGGAAAAAACCCAAACTGCAAAAAGGTGTTTGTTTTAATCCAAAGGGCTTCATACAGTCTGCTTGCTGAGAGAAGGTGCCTTGAGGAAGTCCTGTGTCAGCCTCACACTCCCTGGTTGAGAACAGTCCCGAACAGTCCCTCACACTCTGTGGGCTCAGCAGCCTCCCCTGAAAGGGCTTTGGTCCTTTCAGGAGAGAAGGCAAGGCCAAATGCTGGCTTGGGAAATGCTGTTCCTGGTGACTGCATGCTCAGGAGGACAGACGCAGTTACCATTGTGTGTTCCAGGACCTCTCTAGGTTAAATTGGCTGCTCAGGACACAGTGACAAGTTGGAGCAAATGAGCCAGGGTTACTCACGCCAAACAGCTGTAGTCATGCCAGACCCCAGCACTGTGATGTTTCAGGGTACAATTAAGTTTTGGGCCAGTGCCCAGGCCTCATGTTCCTGATGGTGGAATGAAGTGGGGTCCCTGTCCATTCTTTGTGGGCCACTCTTTTTAGCTGCAGCGTGGCCAGTGGCTTTTCTCTGTAACCCTGGGATGATGTGTACTTCCTGCTGCAGTTGCTGTGTGGTCTGGGAGCCTCTGCCCATCTGGTCCCAATTAGGCAAAATGCTGTGTCATCCTGATGCATGTCTGAAATACGGAGTTATTTGTAATCGTGCCCGTCGGAGATGGATGGGAGGGATCTGAGCAGACACCACTGTTTGTCCCCCTACCCTCTGCTAGATGCCAGTGTTTCTTGAAGGAGGATGGGGAGGGCTGGAGGTGAGATGGGCAGCAGGTGTAGAGTAATGGGCTTGGGACCATTTTTCTGCGAGGGACAGACAGGAGAGTAAAACTTCAGACTTGTAGGAACTAAGTCTCTTTATACTGTATGCTTGGACCTCTCATCCATGTTAATCAGCATGTGGCTGGCTGTGATGTACCTTCAGCGATCGTTCCTGTCTCCTTCTGTAAGCGATGTAGTGTTGAGGTGACAGTGCCCTCCTCTGGCAAAGTGAGAAATTTGAGGCTTGGGAGAGACAGTTCAAAGTGGGGACTATGAAGGCAACTGCTCCTACAAACGCTCCTCTTATGAAGGTATGTTGGTGGCGTAAGTCTCTTTGGGACATTCAGAGCCCTGGCACAGGCTGTGAAACCCGCAGTCCAGGAATTCTGCACTTGTAAGGGAGTGCTGCAGCTGCAGAAAAAAGTTGTTATCCATTATGACAGCCATCAAGTAATGGATGCCACTAAGCCCTGGAGTAATGCTGTGAGGGATCACATTGAAGGTCCTAGAGAGCATTCATGGATTTTCTGACTCTTCAATGTTTCCATGTTGCAAAAATATTTGATATTCTTTTCCCTCTCTTTCAGATCCTGTTTGACCAGGCTCAGAGGTCAGTCCGGCAACAGCTGCACAATTTTGTGAAAGAGTGAGTACTTGTCTTACCAGTTTGGTCTTCAGCTTCTTTAACTTCCATTGCATCTGTCCTTTGTGCACTGGAAACAGAACTACAACCTCCACACAACTACTGAAGGCTCTGCTTGGAGCAGAAGAGACACTGAAGGGCAGAGGAGAGGCTCTGGTTTGTGGGATGGCTGTTGCTGTCATCTTGCTATGCTATCATTTGTTTGCTCTGTTGTCAACCGGGTGTCTTCATCCTGTTCTCAGCTCATGGTTAAAGCTGGACATGAGGCATACTTCCAGACGAGAGCATCATCCCGAAGTCTGGTAAAATTCATCCGCAGAACCCATCTTTGCTGCTTCTCACTGATTTTTCTAGGTTAAACATCCTAGAGTTAAGATCCCTGCAGAGCAGGGCCAGCTCTACATCTTATGTTATCTTACGTTCGATGCAGAGTTTCATTAGTGGTTTAAAGCAGTGCATGCTTGCAGAAGGGAGGAACTTTGCTGCCGAATGACTTTGGGGTCCAGCAGAATCATTGCGTTCTTAGCTCCTCACACGACATGCGTAGTCACTCAAAATTACAGCAGCCCTGCTCTTCTGGAGTAACCTGAGCATCTGTCTGGAAGATGAGACTTACAGACAGGAGGGCCCTTCTTGTGTGGAGGGAGCAGCTAATCATCACTGCGCCTTCAGCTTGGAGCTTGACCGCTGGTTCAGAGTTCTTTGCTAATGGAAAGCAAGTTTACAATGCCCTGGTGTGGGCAAGGCGGAATATTGCATATTAAGGATGCTAACTTGCACAAGGTGGGCCTGAGGTGCACAAGAACTGGGCCCAGGAAGTTAATTGAACGGGGACAGTCTGTACCTTTGATCAAGTCTCTCAGCAGGCTGTCCCTGCCACTGCTGCATGTTTCCCCTGAGTGCCTCTCTTCCCCAGGGCAGGTACCTAGTGCAGCGTGGGATCCCGAGTCAGCTGAATATAGGTCAGAGAGGCAACTGAGGCCTTCAGCTGAGCAGGAGCTGGTTGCCATGGGAACTGGTAATTGACTGAATCCCTCAGCAGCTGTGTGCTTTGCAGGAGGGAGGGGGTCCCTAGCTGACCCCCCATTCCTCATCCCCATCTTCTTGCCTAGCACTCACCCTGCCGTGGCTTTCTCCATAATCATTTCTCTGAGTTCAGATTTAATCTGCTGAAGGTTGGCAGTCGGAAAAGGGAATTTCTCCTTCATTTTGGGTCTGTCATCATTTCAGCATCTTTGCAACTTACTCTTTTTTGCACTTCTACTGCTCAACCTCTGTGCTCGCAGGCCCCAGTGCTTTGATCTTTGCATTGCTCCTGCCCTTGGTTGGAAAATAACTTCTGTGCTTGGGACCATTTTGAATAGTCTACCTAGGGCCGATACGCAACTTACTGGCTGATGATGAGAACAAAGGAACAATGGGAGCTGTGCCCTTGCATGGTGATTCATGCATATGTGAGAGGGCAGTATTTACCCTCTGACCTGCCCTCCCTGTCCCCAAGCCCTGAAGGTCTTTGCCTGGTTTATTTACTTGGTGTGCACAGGAGAGGTCAGCTTGCCCTGCCAATGCTGTCAGTAGCCAAATGCTGTGTGACTGCCTTAGCACGTTACCAAGCTACACACCTTGCTGAGTAGGAGGGTTTTATTAGCGAAGTCTTGAGGTTGCAGTCATGGTGCTGCAGTCTGGCTTAGAGCTAGCTGAGAATTTCCAGCAGTATCACATGCACTCCTGCTCCTTTCCACTAGGGATATGCACAGATGAGGAAGCCATTCTCTCCAGAGCTGGAACAAAAGCTATGTAAAATCCCCACAGCCCTTTGCTGCAAGTGACCCAAAAATGCAAAACACGACCCGGTTATTTACCTGTGAATGGAGCTAGATGGCCATCTAACTCAGCAGCCCTGAGCATTAAGGGCAAATTGAAGAAGCAATAAGCACCAGAACAGTAATCCAGTCACCTCTGTTTTCATTTGTCCTTGCTGTACCTGCCTGTGGTAGACTCTTGGCCAGAGGCTGATCCGTACATAAGTGTATGCAATTTCAAACAGTTTGCCACAGGGCAGAGTTCAGCATTTACTGTCTGACTGCCATGTTCAGCTGAGGCTCTTCATCTTCCCTAGGGCAAAGAATAAGTGGATGCTACTTATTTATTAAGAGTTTTTAACTACTTTAAGTTATAACAATTTATAATTGAGGTAAACAGAGCTCCCCTGGACAGAAAATAAGTGTTTGTGTTACAGCTGCTGTAAATCAGCATTGCTGCTTTCAACTCCTGAGGAACTAGGGCCACTTGTAAGAGCTGATCTTCAGGAATTGCTGTGCTCACTTCTTTATGGTCATGCAATGCAAATCAAGTTCTACCTGAATGGTACCTGCTATTTAATTAAAAAAAACAAACAGACTCAAAAAACCCTGCCTGTTGCTATGCCTTTATAGCCTCCCCCCTGCCCCTGCAAAGCAGACCCCTGATCCCATGTGAGGTCTCTAGGCGTAAATAAAACTTTGAAAGTTCATGTTGTGGATTGTGTATTTCCAAATGCAAATGTTAATAAAAGTGCCTATTGTAAAAGGGGAAAAGAATAGCCAAATGTCTGGATTTTACAGTCAGACAAGACAGAATCAGCTAGAGATGCATGTGAACGGCCTGGCTGCCCTAGTTGAATGCCCTGTCCTGAATTTGAAAAGTAGCTGGTTTTACTCTTTTCACAAAGTGAAATATGAAGCATCTGTTTTCACAGGTAGGTTCTGAAATGTTCTGCTCTCCACTTTTTGTGAGGGCAATTGTGAACTATCTTTAGGGCTGGATGCCATCTGGCCTGGCTTTCTGGGTGCTCTCCTTGGAGAATTTCCTTAAGGTTTTGAAGGCAGTATGTAAGGTCCAATATCCTTCCTTGCAAGCCGTCTCTAAAGAAAGACTGTGTAGAGTTAATCTGGAGTCAGTCCAGCTGGACGTGGTGGAGCTTGGTGGGGTGGGTTAGGATCCCAATGGGATCTGGAGCAGGATCTCTGGGTGATCATAGTGTACTGCTTGCACCTCTCCCTGCTCTGCTGGTATCAGCAATATTCTGGCTGCTTTGTAAGAATGATTCTCACCATCTCATCTTCTTTGGGTTCCAGTGACGTCCGGAAGTTCAAGGAAACCAAGAAGCAGTTTGACAAGGTGCGAGAAGACATGGAGATTTCGCTGGTGAAGAATGCCCAGGCACCTCGGCACAAGCCCCATGAAGTGGAGGAGGCAACAGGCACCTTGACCATAACCAGGAAGTGTTTCCGGCATCTGGCCCTAGACTATGTGTTGCAGGTTGGTGTCTTGTGCCCCCAGCGCTGACTGGATTTCCCAGTACAGAACAAGACCTCACAGGCAAATTGCTAAATAATCTACTGCAGGGAATGAAGAAGTTGAGGGATGAGAGAGGGCAAGTAGGGCCTTATACCTGGGTTCAAAAGGGTACTGGGTTACTAATCCATTGGACATTTTGCTGTCTGCCCCCTGAGGCAGGGAGTCCTTAGGACTGGTGTGTGATGGAACATGAAACCACCGAGGTTTGCTCTAGTTCCAGGCACTGGTGTAGTTGTACCACTATGAACCCACGTATGGTTTAGCAAAGCCCTGTACTGCAGTAGGTGCCAGGGTTCCTTGAGCTGCCCTTTGGCATAATCCAGCCTGTCTATATGAAAGAGTAGGCTGTGCTGGGATGAGAGGACCTTCACTGGTGGGGCTGAGTTCTGTAGCTGGTCCCATCTGCTTGAAATAGTCACAGGATGTCGGTATAAGTGGTGTAAGAGAGGGGAGGCTCTTCACCAAATCCTTAGCTGCTTTGATCTTTATAGCTCTCCAGAGAGTCTGGCAAAACAGTGTCATGAAACTACTGAAAGCGAGGGACCGAACACAACACTGTCAAGTGTTCTCTGCAAATCCTTGTCTGCTACATGTAGAACATGTCCTTAAGGGCAAATGTCTGGATCTGTGTGCACATGTAAACATCCATGTGTGCGTACTTGCGTTCGCGCCTGAAGCTCCAGATGGATGTGTGTGCATGTGCAAATATGCATCTGGATGGATGTGTGTGTACATACGTGTATGTGCACGGTGCATACCTGCGTATGTTGCAACAGTGGAAATGCCAGTTGAATATAAGGCAAAAAAGTTTTCAGAGTTATGCAGCACTGGAACAGGGACCCAAAGAGATTGACAGTCAACGGGACCAGGCTCTGAGCAACTTCATCTAACTTTGAAGTCAGTCTTGCTTTGCCTGGGCAATTGGATAGGTAACTTCTGGAGGTCCCTTCCGACCTGTACTATGCTATGAGTCCGTGTGGGAATGTGTGCTTACCTATGTTTATGCCTTTGCATGGCACTGGCATGACCCCTCATGTCTGTGACATGTTCTCCTTCCTAAAAATGCTACAGTGTACCTGAGAAGGGAAATCTTAATCATTTTTTCAGTGAGAGAAATTAAACACACTGCCTTAGACTGAATTTCTCTTCCCAGTGGCAGATTTCCTGCAGGAACACTCACTTACTGCACCCAGAACGGTCAAGGGTTTTTCTTTGAATCATTCATAGGCTTCATGTCAAGTCTGTCCTTTCAGGCAGTGGGTATGTTAAGCAGACAAATTCAGTGTTAATATTGATCCGTGTGTGTCTCCACTAGCTGTCACTCCTGCAGCACCGAGCTAAGACCATCTGCCAACGCGTTCTGTCTGGTCATGAGGTAGTCTCTGATGCCACATGCTCTGGCAGCTGTGGATAGAAAGGCAATGCTTTCCCCTTAAAGTATAAATCATGCATATCATTGATCCTCCTTTAGGATTGCAATTGTTTGCATTTAGGATTTTAGGATTTTAGTCAGGAATGCAACTGCATTTGCTGGCAAGGTCACACTATAGTAAGCTCCGTCCATTTCTCCCACTGACGAAGAGGAAGAGTTCCTTTAATGTGCTCATCCAACATTGGGGAGCTTTCCCTGTTGGTCCACTGGAAGATACCAGTCTAAATCCATCAGTTTTGAAAGGCATAGACATGAACTTGTCCAGGCATCCGTTGGTATTTAATTAAGGATATAGTGAGGAGATTCATCATTTTATTCTTTTATATCTGAAAGGAGATCTTTTCCTGACCCTGGATGTCCACACAACTGGAGGGCACCCCCTCATAATGAATTAAAACTACATCCTAATTGCAGTAAGTTAAGCTCTCCCACCACAAATCCCAACTCAGATACCTGGGAAAAGGGGCAACTTGGCTCACAGCAAAAAATCAAGTCCCAGAATTTGCCGTGGCAGAATCAGCTATGGAGGGCACTGTATTGGCAGAAAAGTCCCAGTTGGTCCTCATGCGAATGCTAGATGCAGAAAATCTTCCAACCAGCATCCTCCGTTTTCTGTCCAGCCCCCAGAGAGACAGACCCCGTCTTGAGGATCTGTTGCACTTTTCGCATCTTGCAGAACTTGTCTTTGACTTTGTCAACAGGCCTGAAATTGGCACGGTCAAACTTTAAGGATTACTCGTGCACCTCAAAGAGAGCCAAAAGGACCAGGACTCAGTAAAGCACGTTTCAGGGCAAGATTTTTCACTGTGATGTAGCACACTTCCATTATTAGAGTGGCTGTTTTATAGCTTTGTGGCTATAAGTGGCCAGGAGGAGTTACTGCTGTGGAGTGAAACTGTCCGTTGGTATAGAGCAGGGTTACTCATTCCAGTCCTTTTTCTTTTTCTTTTTTTTTAAACCTAGTATACGGGGTGTGGAAAGGAGGGATCTAGGAGGCTGGGGTTATACCTGAACTACTTTGTCTCCCCTCCTCTGTTGCTGGAGCTGATGACCAGGTTGCCCAGTACAGAATCGGGAGGCTGATCGTGGTGTTCCTCACGGATACTGTGACAGGCACCAGCAAGCTGCCCTTTGGTAACTTGTACCTAGTTTTAGGTTCAGTTACTGCAAGCATAGTGCTTCTAAGCAAACTGATACTGCATTTATAAATGAGTTATTAACACACTGGAACCGATTGTCTGTCATGGTAACACATTCATGACACTGACAGCTGAAGCCCCAGTGAAACCTTCTGCTACATTTGACAGTTTCTTCAGTGCTAATTGCAGCACGCGTAAGACTTCCCAGTGTAGCTCATGGGGTCTGTGGGCAAGCTATTATGTGACTATGTGCTAGTAACTTTTTCCTTTTGAAATTATAGTCTCCTGGGTCAGTTCTCAGCCTCTTACATTTATTTTTTATTATTTTTAAACGTCAGGGATATTTTTCACTTCCAGATCCTTGGCCCCAGTATCAGAGGAATGTACTAGGTCTCACAGAGTTTGCCTTTGTCCCTAGTTAAAGGAGATTTGCAACAGTTTTATCTTCATTTCCAAGAGATGCTGATGGTTGTAGTCTTACTGGTAGAGTGGTGAACATTAGAAACAGATACTACCTTTCTTGTTCTTCCTACATACCTCATAGTCCTGGGTTATTCCAGTATTCCTCTTCTTCCTTTCACGGTAAAGATTGCTGTTCACTCCAAAACGTGCTGTAACTGTGCAATTGCATGGAGTAGGGGTTAGCACTCATTTTCCCAGTGGTATAGGATGATACTGGGAGGAGAGAAAGAATCCGGGCATAGCACCTTGCTGCGTTGTGCCCAAGGTTTTATGGTAGGGATTTTAGGTGGGACTTTCCTGATCAAAGGTGCAGGCAGTGAACTGTGAGGTGTCGAAGATGAGCTGCTACAACCAAAAGACGAGCCGGCAGGGAAGACGACCGGCCTGGCTGAACAGAGGGCTTTGGCTGGAACTCAGGAGAAAAAATGGAGAGTGTATGACCTTTGGAAGAAGGGGCAGGCAACTCAGGAGGACTACAAAGATGTCATGAGGTTATGCAGGGAGAAAATTAGAAGGGCCAAAGCCGAACTAGAACTCAATCTGGCTACTGCTGTAAAAGACAATAAAAAATGTTTCTATAAATACATTAGCAATAACAGGAGGGCTAAAGAGAATCTCCATCCTTTGTTGGATGCAGGGGGAATCATCGTGACAAAGGATGAGGAAAAGTCTGAGATACTTAATGCCTTCTTTGCCTCAGTCTTTAACAGTAAGACCAGTTGTTCTCTGGGTACCCAGCCCCCTGAGCTGGAAGCCTGGGACAGGGAGCAGAATGAAGACCCCATAATCCAAGGGGAAATGGTTAGCGACCTGCTACACCACTTAGACACACACAAGTCTACGGGGCCGGATCCACCCAAGGGTAATGAAGAGCTGGCAGAAGTGCTCACCAAGACACTTTCAATCCTTTATCAGCAGTCCTGGCTAACCGGGCAGATCCCAGTTGACTGGAGGTTAGCAAATGTGA